GAACAAGCTGAACATCCTAACTTTCTCTATCAATTCACTTTCACATCACTCGAAACTGCCAAGTTAAACAAAGAGTAAACTTGGGTACATCTCTTGAAATTCCAGATGTTTTCATTTTGTGAAGAGCCATCACATGCTTGAAGTCTGCAACACTTATTTTTAAAGTCCAACTCATCCGTGTTGAATGTTACTATTTTCCTCTTGAAAAAAATTTCAATAAAAACAATTTGTTTAAGAAAATCTTCCACAGGGCACCTGGGTGGCTCAGTTGGTTAAGCGACTGCCTTCGGCTCAGGTCATGATCCTGGAGTCCCTGGATCAAGTCCCGCATCGGGCTCCCTGCTTGGCAGGGAGTCTGCTTCTCCCTCTGACCGCCCCCCCCAAACCACGTGCTCTCTCTCTCTCAAATAAATAAATAAAATCTTAAAAAAAAAAAAAAAGAAAATCTTCCACAAATTTTCTCGCAACAAGGTATTTTTCCCTTTGCTTGTTTAAGAATCTAAACCGTCTGTTTTCAATTCATTCATTAAATAAACGTGGAAGTATGCTATGACATTCACAAGATAACATGTAGCTTTAGAGCCATCTAGCTGAGGACCAATAGTAAACTGCTAATGAAAGTGCCAAATTTCCAACTCTGGGCTACGGGATGCGTGGGAAAGATGCGATGAGCAGATGTAATGTAGCACTAAGCCAATTTCCTGGTTTCGCCCTGGTTTTCTTCCTGATTTGCCTTAAGAAACAAACACAAATGAATAAAACAGTTCTAATGGCCCACAGAACAGGACCCATATGAACATACCTCGCATTTCTGCAGCCACCTCCAAAGTCTGAACTTCTTGTTGGCTCTCATTTTGGCTTCTGTTTTTAGCATGTGAATAATGAGGCGATTTTTGTTTTGTAGAGCCATATCAAGAGGTGTGTCACCCTTAAAAAGAGACAGAAAATTCAATTATATTTTCCACAGAGTATGGGTGCTAAACATTTTATAAGAAATCAGCAGAATCACAGACTCAAATGTATTCATTCTGAAAGTAGCCAGCTACAGTTGATGGTTATTTATCTTGTGGTTAATTGAAAATATATGTATAGCTTATGTTTATGTTGATGTACTAATTTTCTAACTGAAGACCTAATAAACTAAGGGAGATAAATACCTGGTCATACCTTAACATTTCGGATATCCAGGCTAGAACCAGCTTCCAAAAGTTTATCGACTGCATTAACATTTCCTGCTGCAACTGCCCAGTGGAGTGGAGTGTTTTGGTGTATTTTATCAACCACATTGAGAGAAGGATTAAACTTTAAAAGAAATCCAGTTGGTTCTGGCCTGTCTCAAAACAATAAAATACCCAGGAGTATTAAGAGAGATGAATGATTTCACGGGTAAATGCAAAATAACAAATCTTTTAAGCTAAGGTATAAATTGACCAATCAGTTAAGTATTCTGAAAACCACAAAACTTCTTTCTGCAGGGTTCTATTCCAGGGGCTAATAGGAGAGATGCACCCCCCAAAAACACATCTGCAAGTGACAGTCTGCTACACAGATAATATAATTTCAATGTCAATACAGTGGAATAACTGCTTTTGTTTTTCAAACTTTTACTTTCATGTTGTTGTTCTATTGGTTAACATTTTTTCTTAAATTGTGACTTTAGCTTTGGCCAATGCTATGTCATTTACCTAATTAAAAACTAAATGTACAACATTATATTTGAGGGGATAAGCCAAAAGCTAACTTTCCATGTTCCCTTTAACCAATTATTGCAGGCAGAATTCAATATTTTTACTTTACCATCAATATCTTCCCTTCCTTCGTGACTGCTGAAGAGATTCTTTTAATAAAGCAATATTCTACTTACTTATTCTATCAACATCTTTAAACACTATTATCTGACTTTAGAGTTATCAGCAAAAAAGATGAAATGCTTTTTAACAAAATTCAACCCCCAGCCCCAGCACTCCACGAACAAAAGGAAATGGCATCACAACTAACTCGGTTCCTAGGAGAGAGGTCCTAAGTAAAAGCAGAATCAGAAATTAAGTACAACACTGGAAACAAATTCATAAAGGTAAAACTGTAGCAAGTATTTGGACAGAAAGAACACCAGAAGTTGGGACTATATGGTGGTCATTAATCACATGTGTTTATACAATACGTAGAAAAACTTAAGTATGTAAATACTTGATATAAACATAGCAATAGACTATATTCATAGATCAGTTACAATTAATATTTTCAGAGCGGTCAACAATGGCAGAGAACCTCAAAATGTATTGTTTTCTGAAAAGATTTTATCATCTAGATTTCAAATTATGAGAACATTTAAACTTGTAGCCCTTTTTTAAAAAAAATGCAAACTCAGAAATATAAGTCACATTAATAAGTATATGCTATGGAATCTCTACTTGTTCTGTAAGGAAATTTTTTTCTTATTAGTAGTTTTCAAACTTTTCCCCAAAGCTACCAGGAAAAAGAAAATTTATTTCAGTGGTGCCTGTCTAACCACAACTACATTAAAAGTTCCTATCAGTCACAAGGTGGAAAATCTTTCTTTTTCACAAGGTAGTATCATCTCAACATTCTAAGATACTTAAAATTACATACACAGAAATTAGAACCAAGAATCCAAATGAGGCAATTCAGTTAAATGTACTTACCCAAGTACTTTGTTAGCTGATAACATGAGAGGTGTCTGCCCATTTAAATCTGTCATATTCACACTCTGTTCAAAAAGAAGAGTCCATCAGACTTACTGTAAACGCAGTCAAAATTCTCTCTTCTCTTAATGGAAGTAGCTCTCTAATACATTCAACATTACCATTGTGTTTACAAGAAGGGTTCAAATATCATTTGAACAAAAGAATGTTCTGCTTCACATCCATAGGGTAAAAATCCATTGATTTCTACAAAATATTCTTAAAGGCAAAATCTGAATATATGGTTTAAAGTGTATAATGTGAATGGAAGAGAGCTAAGGAAAGGGGGAGAAGGCTAATAATGGCCATCAAATATAAGAGACTGCAGAGACCTTAGGAATCATTGAGGTTACACCTTAACTGACACAGTAATTCAAACTACCGTGTCTTATACAATGGTACCCAGTCTTTATGTAAACACACAAGGGATAGTGAAATATCCATCTTTTCTGAGGCAACTCACTGTATTTTTGGACTTCTGTTTCAAAGAGTAAAATGTGAAAAATTATTTTCTATTTTTTAGAATATAGGGGGGGAAAAAAGGAAATCCTATCTCCACGAGGATATGCTCCTTTTAATAAATGGGCCCAGGTTTGAGGCACACAATAATGGTTCCATCCAAGTCAAAGAAAGAGTTTCAGTTACCGAAGAGTCTTTTGGGCCCTGGAGGAATACAACTCGGGAAAGAGCCCAAAGAGAGGCAGACAGGGCTCCTCCTCATACGTCTTCCCAAAATGAGACCCAAGAGGTTATAATTATTCTACTTCAGCTGGCTAAGTCTGAGAGAAAGTGCTTATTTAAAAAGAACACAATCATTCCAAGAGAATTTGTGCAAACACGTTTCCATGCCTGTTACAGGCGAGTCTGCTGATGTATAAACTACTTTGCTACCAGAAAGCACTTCCCAGACAAGTACAGCCGACAGTGAAACTCCCACCGCCAATACCCTATAATTTAACCTGTGCCATAAATGGATGCCTCTTAAGGCAAGTCATTTTTCATGGAATTACTTTAGAGAACAATAAGAAGCACACATTCAAATTGGTCTCCCATTTGGACTCAAATAATGAAAGCAAATGATGGGTTAATTTAGTGATCTGACTACCATTTCTACATTCAACCAGAAGAAAAATACAGGCTTTTAAAGTCATGTTTTTGAAAAACTCTGCAAATTACTGGGATCATAAGGAAAACTATTGTAGGCTTACAAGTTTCAAAAATACCTATTATATGTTACTGTGCTAAAAACCTGTCCTTTTTGCTCCAATGAAGCCAGAAAAGCAGCATTCAATAGCTAGCTTTACTGAGGTTAATATTTGAGTATCTGGATATCTATAACGTCTACTTTAAAAACGAGGACAGACTATTACTCACCATCCTCCCAATCTCTTCAGGTTCACAATAGCTGGAGTATGAGATAGGTTTCAAAACGTACCTGTCCTTTGGAGATGAGATAGGCTATAATGGGCATGTGCTGAAATAATACTGCCAGGTGGATGCTGCTGAAGCCCTCCCCATCAATGAGAGTGGGGTCTGCTCCATACTGTAGTAATAATATGACCATAGGCAAATGTCCTTGTCTGTAGACAGAGGATAAAAATTATACTGTTTTCTGTAGCATGCAGAAAAAGAAAAACTTCAGGGAGAAACTGATATCCCTAAGACATGAAAGATTTTGGTTCAATATAAAGAGGATTTCCTAACAGACTTTTAAAACACTGGAGATTCTCTAAACATATTTCACTCTAATGCTCCAAACTTAGAGCTATCTGGAAAGTCTTTCTTGAGTGCTGGTAATATACTTAATAACCTCCCAATCTACTATAAACCTTATGTTGCTACCACATAGAAGTAACAATTCTACATGACTAATGCCCAAAATGAAAACTTTAAAACCACTTAGACTTCACTGTTGCTATTTTATTAAAAATGTTTTTTTAAGATTTTATTTATTTATTTGACAGAGAGAGACAAAGAGAGAGAGGAAACACAAGCGGGGGGAGGGGGGAGGAGAGGGAGAAGCAAGCCTCCCGCGGAGCAGGGAGCCCTGCAAGGGCTCGATCCCAGAACCCTGGGATCATGACCTGAGCTGAAGACAAGACACTTCACGACTGAGCCACCCAGGCGCCCCTCACTGTTGCTATGTTGCTATTTTAAAAACAAGAAATAATCATGAGCCAGATACACTGAAGTACAACATTCACAGACTACAGGTATACATGATAGTATTATTTATTCTTAGGAACTACATACTTTTACACTTGAATATGGCTCATTTTCCATGTAAAGCATTGTACCTTGCTAGCTTAAAAGGGATGAGGTAACCTAAATTCTTCAAAATTCTTGGCTATGGAAAAAAGACTCCACTCCTTTTCTTAAATGAACAATTATTCATTTTAGTTTGGGGTTCACGCCAACCCCACCAACCAGAGACTGGGATTAAAATGACAGATGAAGAAATTGTTAAGTATCAAGACAAGCATGTTACCTTGAGCTTCAAATGGCCAATATATACCACAGAAAAGAACTGACCGAGATGGGTATTAAGGAGAGCACTTGTTATAATGAGTACTGGGTGTTATATGTAAGTGATGAATCACTGAATGCTACTCCTGACACCAATACTGCACTGTAGGTTAACTAACTAGAATTTAAATAAAAATTTGAAAAAAAAGAACTGAGTTTACAGTTCTCTGAACTATCGCTTTATTCATGTGATCAGATATAAAAGATACTTACTTTAATTATAAGAAAGTATAATACACATATTTGAGTTTTAGCATCATAATGGAACCCTAAATTAAACACTGAAAAACACTGTCTCTGGAAACTCTTTAGAACTGTAATTTTTTTTTTTTTTAATGAAGGTGGGGGAAAAAAGGGAAAGAAAGCCTTTCAAATGGTCTGTAACAAGTTTCCAATAACGTAGTTACTAGCCACATGTGGCTATTTAAATTCAATTAGTTAAAATTAAATAAAATTAAAAATTCATTTCCTTAGTTGCATTAACCATACTTCACATGTGGCCAGTGGCCACACCACATAACAGAACACTTCCACTATCACAGAAAATTCTGTAAGAAAGTGTTGGTCTACAAGATTCAGAAAATGAACTTAAGTCACTTTGATTCTGAATAGCAATTTCAGTGTTCAAAGAAATCTTTACCTGATGGCCCAGTGAAGAGGAGTCGAATTTAAATCTCCACCCAACTGATCTACTACAGCACCTTTTGAAATATAAAACCTATTAAAAACAGACATAAATGAAAATAAGATTTAAAACTTAAAATTCATGCTGAGAAAGAAAACATTAATTTTTCTTAGTAAGAAACACATGAAAACAGAAATTATAATAACCCTCCCTAAAAGCACGCAGACCTACAGAAGTCTGAGATTCACACAACAGCATCAAACAGATCCCTGGTGAAATATTCTCAGCATATCAATAATTACTCCTGCTGTCAGGAGCATTCCATTATAACGGACATACCAAGCGCACAATAACTACCCTCCACGTACTCTAATTACTCAGTACTCTCAAAACGGTTTATATTCAAAACATTTAGGATCATACAGACATTCTACTTAACTTGCAAGACGAAAGGTGGAATTATGTCACTTTTAACAGTTTAGAATTAGAATTAACTAGGCAGGACTGAATTCTAAAAGTAAGTAGTAAAAAATTCATTCAAAATCCTTTCAGAAAAGTTAGACACTTTTGAGTATTTGGCTTTCTATTTCGGGGTCACAGGTGTGATACAGTGTATCAGGTAAACCTATAAGGTAAAGAGACTTATTTTCTTCTATGGTTTATAGGAATTAATCTCATTATTTTAAAGTTATGCTTCATATATCATATTATCCAAATAATCTAGTTTATTTCCACAGAAAAGGAGTTTGCCAGGGAATATAAAGTGTGTTTATTTGAGTATATTTTAAACGTTAGTACATTTTTATTTTCTTAAACTCCAAGGTTTTTGCTGAGAATATTTCACCAGGGATCTGTTTGATGCTATTGTGTGAATCTCAGGCTTCTGTAGGACTGAGTGCTTTTACAGAGGGTTATTACAATTTCTGTTTTCATGTATTTATTCTAAGAAAAATAGATGATCACTAAGGTTCTTTTCAACACTATGAACTGATGTGTATGGCATGAAGTTTCAGGTATTCATTCACAATAAAAGATGACAGATGGGACAACATTCATACTTGCACTTGAAGAAAAAGACAAATGAAGAGAGGTCTAGAAAAACAAACACACACTTAATTAACACACATATATCCCATCTTACTTTACAAGATCCAGCCTGTTGTTAATAGCAGCCCAATGAAGAAGCGACACATTTTCTTTGTCGGGTTGCCTGACATCATATCCTGCTTCTACCAACTCTTTACAACGTTCAAAAATCCCGTATCTCAAATAAGAAAAAAAAAAAAAAGCATAATTGATACCATTAAAATAATTTCAAATACCAAAATTTCTTCCTTTTATCACATCTTTATCCAATCTTTCAGTTGACACAGAAATACAGTAATTAACAAAGATGTACACAGAGGGCATATTGTTAAGCCTTGTAAACAACGAAAGTAAACCCTATTTTCTAACTGATCAGACCAACCCACTTGGAGTTGAACTTGATCTTCTTAACTAAACTTCAACATTCACATTTCCCCTCCCTTCAATAAATTTCATTTTACCCTCTACTATATGCCAGAAATGCATAGTGCTGATCCCTGACTACAATCCTATCCCTTAATAAGGGAGAGAGACTAAAAGCAAAGTAGGAACGGGATCAATTCAACAATACAATGTAGACATGGTATAGTCACAGCAAAGAAAGGAAAGATTAGCCCTTCCTGAAGGAGATGAAGCACGATACATGTGAGCTGTCTCATAGGCTGAAGGAAGGGTATCTGAGGCCGCGAAAATAGCCTGGACAAAAATCAGAGATGTGAAACTGCACGGTGTTCAGAGAAATATAAGCAAGTTAGCACGGCAGAAGCATTAAGCATAAAGGAAGGGAATGTGCAAGAGACGAGGCTAGAAGAGGAAGGCAAAGCCTGCGTGGGCCTTCTAGGCCATGCTATGAGTTTAGACTTCTTAGCTCAAAGGGAAACCACTGAAGGTTTTAAAGAGGAAAGCACACACGCCGAGTTTTAAGAAAGATCGCATGAGTGGTGGAATGGGAGTTAATTAGAAGAGGGTGACTCTTGTATAGACATACAGGTGAGAGGCAATGAGAACCTAAACTAAGAGATGGAAAAGGAGGGATGGACTGGAGGAATATTGAAGAGGGTTATTTAATGGACTATCAGAATGAGAAATGTCTCTCTTTAATGCGATAGTAATTTTTTAAATCACTGATTAGCTTGCTTTCTTTCTAACAGTAACTATTAAGTCCCCAACAGACCATTTAGCACTTTCTTTGAGACTTATTTTCATTTAGAGGGCCCCGAATGTTTCAATAGGCCCTCAAGGGTCAAAATCACATTTTAGATTAAGTAATTTCTGCCTTACCAAAATGTGTGTGCTTATCAGTCTGTCTTTATGGCACTCTTTAAGACAGAGATACCTGTTTAACAATGCTAAGTGAAAATAGTAATAAGAGAGTGAACTGTTGATAATGACACATGTATTCATATTCTCCAGGTTTTAAATGTCAACTTTAACATTTTACTGAAAAAGAAATACTCCCTTTATGTGAGAAATGTAAGAGCACACACTAATGAGATGTTGGTAATTTAGAGAACACACGCATCCTACCTCTCTTTTGCCTTTTCCAAACACCACCTAATGATACCCCCACAACCATTTAAGAAGGCCCAAGACCTGAAGGAAATTTTAGGGAAGATGTAAAATGGGAGTTTTTACTGAGAGTCCCTGTGACTGTAGCCTAATTTCTTACATTTATCATAACAGAGCTTTACCGGCAGCAGATAAACATTTAAACGCTTCTATGCTAATTAAAGCAAAGATTTACCTTAAGAACACTCTTACCTTCATATAAAAATAAGAATATAAATAATATCAAATAATATTCACCTAAAGTAGCAGCTCCAAGGGCCTCTAGAGTTCATATAAATTAGTAATTAGAATACTCAAATAATCGTCGATTATCTTTTAACATAAATAACACATTAGTCTCTGTTAAGGCTTAACAGGCTAATCACCAAACAGCTTTGCTTTTGACAGAAATTATATCAAGTTAGGTGTGATAACATTAGTTCCTTATAAGTTGATTAGCTCTGATGGGCAGATTTGTATTTGATTACTAAGAAAATGTAGTAGTCAATTTAACGTAGTCTGAGAGACAAAATATTTCAAAATACATTCAATGGCAAGAGGTGGGGTGGATGTTAATGAACAGTGAGATCCGTGAGGGTGAAAATGTTAGAAATGATTTAATGCACATACCCACCTATGGAGATCTTAAGGGGAAACTTTCAAAACATACTTTCATTTTCAGTGCAAGCAAATAACCCGCTATTTGCTTCAAAAGGTCAGAAAACCTATTTTACTTTACCGACTTTCTTCCAGTGCACCCAGTGCAATAGGTACACAGAAATTACTCGATAAATAATTGTTTAAAATATCCATAAATGTGTGAGCTGATATTTTTCCATTCTGTTGACCTATTTAGGTTGTAGTACGTTTTTAAAAACTCAGATTTGTGTTTCAAACTCATAGTTTTAGTATCATTTATAATCTCATTCATTCACTCAACAAAGATTTATTCAGCACCTGATACATGACAAGAACTATGCAAAAGCCCTGGGATGACAAGGAAAAAAACGACATGCTTTTGCTAAGAAGCTGCTCATGATTTAATGGGAGAGACTGGTAATCAACAGCTAAAAGGGTGCACTGCATTAAGTGCTCTGATGTTGGCAGGACAAACATGCTAGGGCTTAAGTATGAAGTGAGGAAGGTATACACTGGGATGCCATGAAATGCACAAATGTCATTATAATTCAACAGAACACAGGATAAAATGAAACATTGGGGAGACTTACTGAGTAGCTTTTACAATGTCACAGTTACTAGAGTCCTCTATAAGAGGAAGAGCCTCTCTCGCTTTGGCAAGTTCTTTGCTTTCAGATGCACAGATTCCATGTCGACCAAACCCTGGAGGGTGGGGGCCATGGCCGTGATTCCTGCACTGAAGAATAAGAGTAATTTGACAAAGTATAGTAGGAGAATTAATGTCACATTCAATTACATAAGGAAGCATTTACTACTGTCAACTGTATCTATGTCATTAAATTAGAATTTCTTTCAGTCTTACAGGTATATCCTAGGGAAGATTTTCATCTTAATTCTATTCACTAAGATGAGATGCTTATTATGAGAAAATTATTTTGTCATAAAACAAAGGTCACCTGCAAAGGCACAAATGGACCTTACGACCTGTAGCAGGTGGGGGGGGTAATGGATACTGACACAGTGGGAAGGTCACCAGGCCTCTGCTTTGGGAAGTTGTGGCAGACACACCCTAAGGATATCCCCTAACCTCCCAATAAATCGAGTTCTTGAATATGTATAACTGGAGTCTCAGGAAAGGAGGAGGAAATGCTTTTAAATATTTGACTGGGGCACCTGGGTGTCTCAGTCAGTTAAGCATCCAACTCTTGATCTGGGCTCAGGTCATGATCTCAGGGTCGTGAGATCAAGCCCCACGTTGGGCTCCTTGCTGAGCATGGAGCCTACTTAAGATTTTTTTTTTTAAGATTTTATTTATTTATTTGATAGGGAGAGACACAGCGAGAGAGGGAACACAAGCAGGGGGAGTGGGAGAGGGAGAGGCAGGCTTCCGGGGAGCAGGGAGCCGGATGCGGGGCTTGATCCCAGGACCCTGGGATCATGACCTGAGCAGAAGGCAGACGCTTAACGACTGAGGCACCCAGGCGCCCCTACTTAAGATTCTCCTATTCTCTTTCCCTCCCCCTTTGCCCCTCCCACCCCCGACTCACACGTGCAAGCTTCCTCTCTAATATATATATTATATATCAAATATATATATATTTGGACCAAACAATAGCCAAAATCTTCCAAATTTGGTGAAAATTATAAACCCACAGCTCCTAGAAACTCAACAAACCCAAGCAGGATAAACCTCAAAACTGTACACAAAGGCATATTATAATCAAATCACTAAAAGCCAAAGCCAAAGAGATAATTTTAAGAGCAGCCTAAGGAAAAAGACACATTATGTCCAAAAGAACAAAGATAAGAATGAATTCAGACTTCTTATCAGTAAGGGCCAGCCAGGACACAAAACACAGCTTTAAAGAGCTGAGAGCACTGCAAACCTGAAACACCAGCAAAACTATTCTTCAAAACTGGGGGTGAAACACACACTTTTTCAGACAAATAAAAGATGAGAAAATTGCCAGCAAACTTATACTAAAAGAAATGATAAAAGAAGTTCTTCAGGCTTAAATGAAAATAATACCAGATGGCAATCTAAAACAATACAACAGAACAGAGTACCTTTAAATATGTATAACTATGTGGGTAAACATAACAGACTTTTTCTCATTTTTTAATTTCTTGATGAAAGGAGAGAAATGGAAGTATACTTTTAAGTGTACTTGTAAAAGATGCTATAATAGTTATAAGACACTATAATAGTAGTTGCAGGTAGGCAGTGATAAAGTGTATAATGTTAACCCAAGGGCAACCCGTAAAAAGGCATAAGTAATAAGCCAAGAGCAGAGACAAAATAAAATGCTAAAGACACCCAATTAATATTTTTTAAAAAGGCAAGAAAAGGGGTGTCTGGGTGGCTCAGTCAGTTAAGCACCTGACTTCGGCTCAGGTCATGATCCCAGGGTCCTGGGATCGAGCCCCACATCAGGCTCCCCGCTCAGCAGGGAGTCTGCTTCTCCCTCTCCTCCCCACCCCTGTTTGTGCTCTCTCTAAAATAAATAAATAAAATCTTAAAAGAAACAAAAACAAAAATATGGGGCCCCTGGGTGGCTCAGTCAGTTAAGCATCTGACTTCAGCTCAGGTCATGATCCCAGGGTCCTGAGACCGAGGCCCGCATCGGGATCCCTGCTCGGCGGGAAGCCTGCTTCTCCCTCTCCCACTCCCCCCGCTTGTGTTCCCTCTTCACTGTCTCTCTGTCAAATAAATAAATAAATAAATCTTAAAAAAAAAAAAAGAAAATAAAAAGGCAAGGAAAAAAGGAACAAAGAACAGAGAAGAAAAAGAAAAAGAAAAACATACAAGATGATATATTTTCACCTAATCACTATATTGATAATCATGTTAAGTGCAAATGATCTAAAAAAAAAAAAATACACAGACTGTCAGAGTGGATTTTAAAAAACAAAACAAAAATACTACAACTATAGGTTGTTTACAAGAAACTTGCTTTAAATATAAAAGCATACATGGGGCTCCTGGGTGGCTCAGTCGTTCAGCGTCTGCCTTCGGTTCAGGTCATGGCCCCAGGGTCCTGGGATCGAGTCCTGCATCTCCTGCATCGGGCTTCCTGCTCAGCGGGAAGCCTGCCTCTCCCTCTCCCACTCCCCCTGCTTATGTTCCTGCTCTCGCTAACTCTCTGTCAAATAAATAAATAAAATCTTAATAAAAAAAAAGAAAAGAATCTAGAGAAAGAGGGGCACCTGGGTGGCTCAGTTAGTTAAGTGTCAAACTGGCTCAGGTCATGATCTCGGGGTCATGATATCGAGCCCCACGCCAGGCTCCATGCTCAGTGCAGAGTCTGCTGGAGATGCTCTCCCTCTCTCCCTCCCCCTCTATGCCCCCCACCCACCATTTGTGTGTGTGTTCACTCTCTCTCTGACAAAGTCTTCAAAAAAAAAAAAGATAATAATCTAGAGAAAGAAAATTAAAATCAACGTAGACGGGGGCGCCTGGGTGGCTCAGTTGGTTAAGCAATTGCCTTCCACTCAGGTTGTGATTCTGGATGAGTCCCGCATCGGGCTCCCTGCTCAGCAGGAGTCAGCTTCTCCCTCTGACCCTCCCCCCTCTCATGCCCTCTCTCTCAAATAAATAAAATCTTTTTAAAAAACCAACATAGAATGAAGAAAGCAGTAAACAAAGACAGAAGAAATTCATGAAATATCAGAAAAACAATGTAGAAAATCACTGAAAACAAAAACTTGCTCTTTGTAAAGAATAAATCAATAAAATTGATAAACCTCTAGTCAAACTGATCAAGAAAGAAGATGTCATTGACAAATAGCAAGCTTAAAAAGGGGCTAACACTACAAGAGCCTATGAAAATTAAAAGGGTAATAAGGCAATACTGTGAATATCTTTTATGTCAATAAATTCAACCTAGATGGAATGAATGCACAAATACCTCAAAAGTCACAAGTTATCAAAACGGGCTTAAAAAGACATGAGTAGCACTCTCGCTATTAAAGAAATTGAATAATTTTAAAACTTTCCATTAAAAAAAACAAAACAAAATAACCCCAACCCCATATAACCTTTAACTGCTGAACTCTATCAAAATACTTAAAGAAGAAAGGATACCAACTCCTTCAGAAATTATAGGAAATGCTTCTCAGCTCATTTTAGGAAGCAGCATTATCCTGATACTAAAATCAACAGACATTACAAGTAAAAAAACAAAACAAAAAAGTAACTACAGATTCAATATCCTTCATATAGATACAAATATCCTTAAACAAAATATTAGCAAAGTGTACCAAGTAATATGTAAAAAGAATAATATATATTACGACCAAGCTTAATCACTTTAAAACAAATCAAGTGACTCCCCATATTAACAGAATAAAGGGGAAAAAAGCATATACACATTTCAGGAGAATAAAGCAATTGACAAAATGCAACACCCATGCACAATAAAAACTCCTGGATAAAGATTCTCGGCACACCAGGGAAAGAAGGAAACTTCTTCAACCTGATAAAACAGGTACACTGTAAGAAATCTACAGCTACCACACACTTCATGACAAAAGACTGCATGCTTTAACTCTAAAGACTGAAAACAAGGCAAGGATGCTCACTATCACCACTTTTTTAAAGTAGGCTCTCTCTCTGCCCAACGTGGGGCTCAAACTCACACCCCTGAGATCAAGTCCCATGCACCAAGGACCAAGGCAGCCAGGCGCCCAGCTTCTAATCAACATTGTACTGAAGTCCTAGACAGAATAGAGTAAGGAACAGAAGCAAAATGCATATGGATTAGAAAAGAAGCAAGTCCATCTTTATTTGTAGACAACATGATCACATATAGGAGACCTAAGGAATCTTTGATAAAATTTACAATAGCATCAAAAATATAAAATATAAAATACTGGGGCACCTGGGTGTCTCAGTCTGTTAAGCATCCCACTCTTGATTTCCACTCAGGTCAGGATCTCAGGGTCTTGAGATGGAGCCCTGCATAAGGCTGGGCTCTGCACTCAGCAGGGAGTCGGCTTGGAATTCTCTCAGATCTCCCTCTCCCTCTGCTCCTCCCCCCACTCGTGCACATGCACGCACGCACGCGCACTCTCTCTCTCAAATAAATAAAATCCTTAAAAAATAATAATAAAATAAAATACCATACCCAGCATTTTTAGTTTAAGGGGGGAAGTTCACATCAAATATCTAGCAAACCATTCCTAGAAATCGAAATTGGCTAATTAATCATTCCCTCTTGTTCTTTACCATTAAGTTGTTACCCAGCCTTCACCCACCTTATTCATCAGACCTGTCTCTCTGAACAGCTTTTCACTGTTTACAGACAAAACAAAAACAAAACATCCTCAAAGGATACACATTAGGAATAGAAAAGTTGAAGATATTTAAAATAATGTGCCTAAGTCAATTCCCCAGGAGTTCCAAAAAAGGTTTAAGAAATGATAGTTTTACTGAAATAAGTCTACAGCCCCTCAATGGGTTTACTGAAGGGGCAAATGCTTTTTTCTTCTTTTAAGTTAACTTACAATAAAATTGACTTTTTGGTATGTAGTTCTATGAATTTTAACACATTGCATGTAGAATTGTATAACCACCACCAAAATCAAGATACAGGACAGTTCCAACACCTCAAGAAACTCTGCTGGGATACTGCTTTGTGGTCACACCCCCCCCATACCTCAGCTCCTGGCAATCACCGATATGTGCTTCATCACTAGTTTCCTCTTTCCCAGAGTGTCATATAATGGAATTATACAGCATATAATCTTCTGAGACTGGTTTCTTTCACTTAACATAAGCTTTCTGAGACTCATTCAAGTGGTTCTGGGTTATTCATAGTTATTTCCCTGCTGCATAGTATTCCATAATATGAATATATCACAGCTTATCCATTCAAACAACCCAGGCAAGTTGTTTCCAGCTTTTAGCAATTTTAAGTAGAGCTGCTATAAACATTCATGTACAAAGCTTTTGTATGAACATATGTTTTTGCTTCTCTAAGAGTGAGACTGCTTGGCCATCTGGTGAGTATATGTTGAATTTATAAGAAATCGCCCAACTATTTTCCAGAGTGCCTGTACCACTTTGCATTGCCGCTAGCCACGTAGGAGAGTTCCAACTGCTCTCCATGCTCACTGGCATCTGGTATGGTCAGTATAATAGATAAGTAGCGGTAGCTCATGACGGTCTTAATTTGCATATCCTTAATAGCTGAAGTTGAGTATCTTCTCATGTGCTTATTTGCCATCTGTATATCTTCTTTGGTGAATTGTCTTTTACCCATTTTTTAATTGGGCTGTTTGTTTTCTTACTGTTAAGTTTTGAGAGTTCTTAACATTATACATTCCAGACACAAGTCCTCTTGTGTCTAGATTTGCAAACATTTTCTCCCAGCCTATACCTTATCTTCCCATTTCTTAAAAGTCCCAAATTTTCAATTTTGATGAAGTCCAATTTAGCAATTTTTTTCTTTTATGGATCATGCTTTGGGTGTCACTTCTAAGAACAGCTGTCTTGGCGCCACAACTCCTCTGTTCAAAGAGGAAGTTCTCCTCCCACAGAGTTTCAGGAGCCTGTGTTGCCAGACCTCCTTCTTGTCCCTTGAACTTGAACTAGAGGGCTTCTCCTGGAGCGCTCTGTCTGCACTGATGCTCAACTCCATGGTTCAAGTTCAGGCATGGTGGGGAACAGGGAAGGGGACCCAGTGGGAAAAAAAACAAAACAAAAAAACGTAAATTAGCTCCTGGTTCAGTGGTTTCTTGAATTCTGGTCTTTCCCCCCAATCTCCCTGTTACAATTTACTTTCCAGAATCCTTAAATAGCTGCTACTTATATTCTGCCCAGTGCCTTCAGTGGGATAGGCAGGGTGGAGGGTGCTTACTCCATCTTACTCAGAACCAGAACCACAAATGCTCTTTTGAATAGGTAAGTTCTGCTTTATCTGGTGAATTCAACCTCCCCCCTACTTGACAATCTTTACACACAAGCATACTCACACACAGCTAAAAATAAACATATAGGTAGTTAGATTAAAACATAAATAAGAACATTACTTTAGGATTCTTTTCATCATATCACAGCAATTATAATTATATCCAACTGGAAAAAAGACTAGCTGCTGAGGAAGAGTTGAACTATACTCAGAATTACTATAATTTAAGGTCATTTCCCCCACCTCTTGTGACAGTTCAACTTCTTTTTTTTTAATTCTTAAATTTCTACCTTGAGGATCAAAGACAACCTATTTTTTAATAAAGGTCTGGGTAGTCCTGAACTTAAATCAGTTAGAGTGTCAGTACATAGGAGATGGGAGTTAAAATTGACAGAGTGATCAATCTACTTTTTACATCAACATTAATTTTTTTAATTATGATTCACATCCATTTTAAAGATCTAGCAATATAAAAGTGAACAAAGGGTAAGCAAATCCAGACTATTTTCCTTCCAATCTTGGAGCAATAGAGATACTATTATTAGGAGTTTGGTGTATCCTACACCCCATTGTATATATAGTTGACCCTTGAACAACATGGGTTTGAATTACATGGGCCCACATACACACAGATGTTTGTTGATAAATACAGTGTAGTACTGAAATGTATTTTCCTTATGATTTCCTTAACATTTTCTTTTCTCTAGCTTACTTTATTGTAAGAATACAGAATATAATACATATAACATATAAAATATGTGTTAATCAACTCTTGATGTTATCAGTAAGGCTTCTGGTCAAAAGCAGGTATTAGTTGAGTTTTTAGGGAGAAGCTACACACGGGATTTTTTAACTGTGGGGGGGGTCAGCGCCCCTATACCTGGTGCTGCTCCAGAGATGCAGGCTGATTTCAGCCTTCACTTCTATAAAGAATGCTACAATGAATCCCTGTCCATTCTACAGCATTGATTCCCCAAAGGAGGACTGCTAGGTCAGGAAATATATGCATTTAAACGTAAAGAGATACTGAGCAACTACTTTCCCCATTTCACACACCAAACAGCAAGGATGTAAATGTTCTTTTTTCCCTACAAACCTTTCCATAACTGAACATTCTCAGTCATGTTACAGTCTTGCCAGTCCAATGGCTAAAAAATGGCATCTTGTTTTTCATCTGCATGCCCCTAGTTGCTAATGAATCTGAGTGTGTTTGTTACGTTTACTGGCTCTCATATTTTTCTTTCGTGGACTCCTTTTTCATAGTCTACTGTTTTCCTAGTTGGATGGTATATCTTTTCCCATTTGTTATGTTAAGAAGATTAACCCTTTGTTTTTAAACAGATTTTTCATCACAGAAAATTGACGCATTCCACAGATACCAATTTGTTGCTTCTCATAATGCCTTAAAGCATTAAGGACATCAGTTTCATTTTTCATGTAGAAAGTTGAAGATTACATCTTTCAATGTAAAGAATATCCACAATTAGGAGCATTTGTTTTTTCAGCAATTAATTATTGTGTATTTATGGCGTACAAAGTGTTATGCTAGAAGCACGAAAGTCATGGGTGTCTATCCTCCAGGAGTCTGAGTCTAATAGAATCCAACAGAGACAAACAGAGTAAAATGATAATGGAAGGCAACATGTGATTAAGGGCAAAAATGGGTGGTAAAGACTAAAGAACAGGAGGTACCTTCTGTTCACATCATCATTTTTTGCCGAAATCCAAATCAGAGTAAAACCTAAAAAATTATATACAAACTCAAAGCCTGTTTTCGAAGTCAGTGGTCTCCAAAACCAGGCAAGGTCACTCAAGGCCATATATGCAGTGACCCATTGGGTAATGGAAGAACATATTAAAGCTTCTATTATAATGACTTTTATCTTTAAAAAAAAGGGGGGAACATCACAAAAATTTACAAATCCGGTTCTTTAAGCTTTACTAATTTTAGCACTGCCAGCGTCTCTCAATTTGTTTGTCAAGCGAGTCACTCCTTACAGTCTGTTTACAAGGTGACCTGGGGGCAGAGTAAAAGTTCTACCACCCAGAGGGCTTGACAGGGGGACCTTCAGCATACTGCAGTATACATGAGGGTAAGTTAATTTTCAAGTGAAATTATCTAACTTTAACTAAGTTACCCCTCCCAAAATAAGCAAGTGGCTTAAACCGATTCCTACAAAGAAGCCATGAAGTAGGACAATAATAATAGCATAAGTCCAAGCAAACAAGAAAATGGCAAAGCTGACATGTCTATGCATAGTATCTTCAGTATCACCTGAAGTAAAAACAAAAACAATTTAATGGGATCTAACAAAAAACCAGCCTCCCTCCAAAAAAAATCAAAATTATCAAAAAGGCTAATTTGAAAGAGGTTTCTATTTATTATCTTTAATTCAAAACCTTACCACTAGTATATATTAAGCTATCAATCAATGAATATAATTTAGAAACATACTGCCAAATCTTACAATAACATGCCCTGTCATGACACAAATTCGGCAAGTGGCTCCTATCCCCAGCCCCCACGTACCTCAAATGGATGCAAGCTGAACTTTTTTAAGTCCCAGCCAACCACATGACACAAAATCATCCCATCAGTGTGTAAGTTAGAGTGATCAATTGCCAACAAGTGATGACAAACTGCAGTCAGTACCTGGGTGATTTGGACTGTGCGTCTGGAGCCAAGCTCCCGGCCAGCTTATAGCACAGCCTTCATTTATCATCCATTAATCTCACAACACATGATGCTTTACAAAAATGAAAATTTGGGATCCCATTCACATTATGGTAAGGTTTTACTCTAGGGGTACAAGCTCAAAACTGTTTTACTGATTGGAACGCATGATCAAAACAGCTTAGAGACCACAGCTCTACGTTCTCTCCTTTGCTCTAGGTATCACACCCTCACAAAATTTTACAAGAGCTACAGGTGAGAAAAGGAATGACCTGCTTTTGGGAGGTCAGCTTTGGAGACAGTCACATAAAGATGTTTAAGAAAACAACCATATGTTCCCATCGCCAAGACTGAAGCAAAGTTTATGTCAAGATACTAAAAAATCCTTCTTAGAAATTACTCTCCAGTTACCAAAAAAAACCCTTTATTTTTTATTTATTTTTTTAGTATTCTCTAGTTGTTTCATTTTTACCATGTTGAAATGCAAACCCCTTGAGAACAAAGCCAAAGTCTCAGATTTCATGCTGCCTGAATGATGGCGGCTAATCATCTACCCTATTTTTGGCTTCAGTTTTTACATTTCTAAAATGGAAGGAGCAGGTTAATATAGCTATAAAGTTCCTTCCACGTTAATGCTGTATGGGTCTAAGAGGAGCTGTTACAACAGTCATTACTGAAATGTGCACTGACAAAGACTTCCAAGCATTGTGTACCCAAACACAACCATTCTCTTTCACTTTCAATACTGTGTTCAATAAATTACATGAGATATTAAATACTTTATTATAAAATAGCTTTGTGTTAGATGATTTTACCCAACTATAGGCTCATTTAAAGTGTTCTGAACGTGTTTAAGGTGGGCTAGGCTAAGCTATGATGTTCAGTAGGTTAGGTGTATTAAATGCATTCTCAACTTATGACGGGTTTATTGGATGTAACCCCAATGTAACTCGATGAAGATCTGTATGAGGTAATTAGGGAATAAGACACAATTCCTGCTGCAATTCATTCATTCATTCATTCATGAGATATTTACTGAATGCCCTCTATGTGCCAGGCACTGCTCTAGACATGGGATATGACAGTGAACACAACAGGCAAGATTCAAAAAAAAGTAAAAAGGATACCAAGAAAGAAACATGTAGCTAGCTGAATACCCTCCTTCACAGGGGAGAACAAGATATTATGAAAACTATGTAAGAGAGATATGGATACATCTGTGGTGATTTTTACAATAGAGTCCCTAAATTCTTTGATACTTCTCCATTAAAAGGAGAGGGTCTGTGTCCCTTCCTCTCAAATCTGAGCTCTGTGACTGCCTCACTAATAAAATACCGCAAGTGATGTTCCACCAGTTTGCAGGCCCAGGACTGAGAAACTGGCAGCTTCCTCTTTCTGTTTCTTGAGATGCTCACTCTTGGAACGTAGCTACTATGCTGCGCAGAGGCCCGGGGCCACATGTAGGTGTCCCTGCTAAAAGTCAACATCAACTGCCAGATAAGTGAGTGAAGACATGATCAGATGATACCAACCCCAACTATTAGGTATCCCAGGTTATGAGTCTTTCTAGCAAAGGCTCCAGACATAGTGGAGCAGAAACAAACCATCCCTGCTATGCCCTGTCCAAATTCCTAACACACAGTCCATGAACATGACAATGGCTGTGTTACACCACTATGTTTTGGGGTAGTTTTTACACAGCGACAGAAAACCAGAACACTTAAAAAAAGAAAGAAAGAAAGACAACCAGAACAATTTTAAGAGATAAGGGATCACACAATATTTTTCACACAGAGATATCATGAATCATATTATTTTTTCTAAATAGTAAATAAGTACTGTTAAAGTTACAGTGGGCATTAATTGAAGAGAAACCCAAGATCTAAAAAATCATATTCAAACTCTTATGAGGGTCACTATCGTGCCAGATTATCAAATAAAACAAAGAGAGATCCAATAGATAACCATTAAAATTTCTCAGGACATTAACAGAAGTGCCAGAGTTCCGTTTCCACGTTCATTCATTGGACAATTGTTTACAGAGTACCCACCAGTGCTAGGCACTGTTCTAGAAGCTAGGCACACAGCAGTCAACACAACTGATAAAAAAAAAATCACTGCCCTCATAGAATTTACATTCAGTGGAAGGAAAGAGACAACAAACAAAACAAAGAAGTATGTTAAATGGTATTAATTGTTGAGGAGAAATATAAAAGAAGAAAAGAGACTAGGAAATGTTGCTGGTAGTGGTAATGAGAAGAGGTTGCCGCACTGAGGTGACATTTGCGTCAAAGCCTTAAAGTGGTGGGGGAATAAGCCCTGTGGGTATTCGAGGAAAGAGTACTCCAGACAGAGCCGAAGAGTAAGTACAAAGGTCTTAAGGCCAGTGTGGCTGGGGCTGATTAAGCAAACAAGAAAGTAGTAAAAAGAAATGAGGTCAGAGAGGAAACAAGGGGACAGATGACATAGCAAATTCCAGCAAAACCCAACAACACTGAAATTGGAATCAGAAGAACCAAATTCAACCAGAGCAGGAATGTTTTTATCTGTTATATTCACTGATTTATCTCTAGCACCTGTAACAGTGCCCAACACCTAGGAGAATGAAGTCTTGGCTCGACCACTTAGCAGCTATTTGACTTTTAACAAATGACTAGAATAACAATCTCTCCCCAACTCATAGGGTCAGAGTGATCAAGAATAGGGAAATATTTTGCAAACTGAAGAGCACCATATACAGGTGAAATCTTTATTACTGAAAAACAATTATTATTATTAACAACAACAATTATTATGAACAATGACTACTCTACCTTGCCCCATTAATTTCAACCTCTGAATCATTCTCTTCCTCCATCTGTCATGAAATTTGGGCAGGGATATCTTCCCTTCAGCATGAGGGAGTGGACTTTAAGTACTTGAAGGCCTTTGAAAATGAGTGGCAGCAATTAAGATATGATAGTTACTCCTATCAACTTTTCCTTGAGATACTCTGAGAAAAAGAACAAGACATAGTTTGCATGTGAAGATTCTACACCCTTTTGTAAAATCCAGTCAGCTGGCAATCTTTTTTTCTGTCAAAGTGCTAGAATACCTAATATGATAAGAACAACTTAAATTCTCCACATTTTATTCTTTCTCTTAAACCTATATCAGACTGTTGAAAGAAAGACAGGAATGGGGAAGCATGAGAAACACTCTAAGGAATGGAAAGACTTTTTTTTTAGAAGCTAACTCATCCAGTCATCTCAAACTGCTTGGATCCCATTAAGGACAGAAAATCTACCTAACTCACTCCAACTGGAGACAGCTTCAGTTTTCCCACCAGTAAGGAGATCATATCATCTCAAGGATGCTTCAATTCTGTAATAAAATAATGCATATAAAAGCAGCTGGCATAAGCTAAGCACTCACTACATGTTGGCAAAATCTGGATATTCTTCATTTATTCAACAAATATTAAGTGAACAGCTACAATATGCCTGTCAGCACTCTAGGAACTGGAAGAGGGCCATAAGCAAAAAAGACAAATATCTTTTTCTCTCGGAACGTCCTCCTGTTATCTCCTGTAACGTCCCCCACGGGCCCGTTCTCTTCTCTGGAACTACATCTGGCTTCTGGTAGTATCTCCTCCACAGAATAGCGTCTTTTGGGGTTCTGCAGAGAGCTATCACGTACCTCTTTCCACCCACCTTTTCCCCAGCCTAAACTAAAAGCCTCAGTTCTTTGGAGTAGGCAAGAAGTGGGAGCAAGAACCAGAATAGGGCTGGGTGGGGCGAAGGAAGGTGTCCAGGCAACTCCACCGAAAAAAAGAAATCAAGAGAACTGCATGGATTCCAGGCCAAGGTCAAGACAGGCTGGTCCAACTCAGGTGTGTCACCTGACACCTCTCCTAGGAAGGGCCACACTCCCTTTCAGGCCCCTCAGCGGTCCCTAACTGGGCACCAGGGTACCAGCCCCAGGGGGCGCCCTGGGCCACCGTGGAGGATGGAGGGCCCGAAGGGCACTCACCCGTACGTCCTCGCCTTTTCTTTCCGGTCGTCTCGGAGAGAATTCCCAGCATCATTCTCGGAGTCTCCGTGCTTCCTCCTTCCCAGCCCAGGCCCCTCCGCCCCCGGAGGCCCCTCTTGGGAGCCGCCTCACACCTACGCCCTCCCTCTCCCCACGGCCGCCGCCGCTCTCACCGCCCCAAGACGGCCAGCACCCGGCCGCACTCACCTGCGAGCCCAGGCCCGGCCCCTCCATCTCGCCACTGGCGGCGGCGACACGGCAAAGTGGCCGCAGCAACCTGCCGGCCACCTCGCCTCGAGCCGCCTTTACTCCCACTTCCTGCTTGTGGCCCCGCCTCCGCCGCAGCCGCCAATCGCCCTCGGGAGAGCCAATCCCTGCGCTCCTAGGCTGGGGGCGGGACTTTCCGCTGAAGCTTCTGGGGACCAGCGCGTCGGAGGCCCCGCCCCTGGCCCGCCCCCGCCGTGTGCTTCCAGCCCCAGGCCAAGACCGCGCAGTGCTAGCCGGGGTTGGCGTACACCGGCCCTTCACGCCTCAACGTGCCCCCCACACAGGTCCAGGATCAGGCTGTTATTCCAAAGTCACCCCACCACCTACTGAGAGCACATGCAGACTTGGCTAATAGATAGCGAGCTAACCTTGTGAAAGTCTCTTATTTTACTTCCTCATCTGTGAAATGGGAAAAACAAGGGTACTTCACAGATTGTCAGGAGAATTAAATGAGAGAAAACGTGCAAAGCTCCTCAGTCAGTGTTTGACATATAGTAAGGAGTCAATAAATGTTAACTATTAAAACATTTGCCACTCCCCACTTTTGTGATCTTGAGTGAGCCACTGCCATCATCTGGGCCTCTGTTTTCTTCATACGAAAGAGAAAATATGTGCGTTTCACTGCTCAGGCTAGGGAAAGATTGGGCAAGAGCCCCCCACTTGCATTCTCCACGCCCTTTTGTGGACTGAAGGAACTGGCATCTAAACTGTTCAGGTTCCTGCCCATGGGAACTCCAGTGGGGCAATGGGGCTCTCCTACCTCAGACCCCAGAAAACACTGGCGTTTTCTAGCCCAGCACTTAACACCACCTTTGTAATTATTCCTTAATGTATCTGTTGCCAAACCGAACCGGATTAAGACCTTTAAAAGCTAAACTGGAAAGAACAGAAAACACTATGACTCCCTTATTCTATAAAAATAGTTTTAATCATAAAATAAGTGTCTAGAAATCCAACAAAGTGCTGGGTTTTCCCATAATAAATACCATAATACAATATAATTGTAAAAATTTTTTAAACTCTATTATTATTATTGTTATCATTATCATTATCATTATTATCATAGTACCCTGCCTGTTGGGCAGAGCGGCCCTGAGTTGCCCCAGAAGCCCAACCTCTTTGAGGCCATAAGCAAAAAGGACAAAAAATTTGTTCTCTTGGAACATCCTCCTGTTGTCTCCTGTAACGGGCCCCAATGAACCGTTCTGTGCTCTGGAACTACTACTGTCTTCTGGTAATATCTCCTGCACAGAGTAGTGTCCCTTGGGATTTTGCAGAGAGCTATCACGTATCTCTCTTTCACCTACCTTTCCCCGGCCTAAACTAGAGCCTTAATTCTTTGAAGGAGTAAGAAGGATGTGGTAACAAGAGCTAAAACAGGGTTGGTTAGGGCAAAAGTGGGTGCCCAGGCATCCATCTCTGAACTCTCAGTGCCCAGCACAGCACGGGGACATGGACAATGGTAAGTATAATTTTGTTGAGAGGATGGACAGACAGATGGATAGGTGTGTCATCAACTTCTATGATACACGGAAGGACAAATAGAAGAGTAAGCAACTTCCTGGGAGAGCCAGAGCCGTGAGCATTTAATTTGGAAGGGCCAGGATGAGACATTAGGCAAGGCTTCATAGAGAAGAAAGCAGACCTGGCCTCTCATCCTGACTCTGCCATCACGTACTGTGGGTAGCAGTTCCCTTAGGGCTCCTGTACCAAAGTACCACACACTGGGGGGCTTAAACCACAGAAGTTTACTTTCTCGCAATTCCAGAAGCCAGAAGTCCAAGATCACGGTGTTATACTAGCAGACTGTTTCTTCTGAGGCCTCTCTCCTCGGCTGGTAGATAGGCATCTTCTTCCTGTGTCTTTGCAAGGTCTCCCCTCCGTATGTATCTCTGTTCTAATGCCCTCTTCTTATAAGGACACTAGTCAGATAGATTAAGGCCCACTCATATGACTGCATTTTAATTTACTTGCCTCTTTAAAGACCTTACTTGCAAATACTGTCACATTCTGAGGTACTGGGGGTTAAAACTTCAACACGTGAATAGGGGGGAGGACAACTGTGTGACCCTGGGCAAATCACTTTCTCTCTCTGTGACACTTTGCTCGTTTGTAAAATGGGGCTGAGACTGGCTACAGGAAGCACTAACCTCAATGGTCCCTCTCAGTTTTGATCAGGTAACTTCTCCTGCTGAGACTAAGCTCTACCTCTCCAGTCCCCATAGCACTTTTTGGATCTCTTTTAGAGAACATTACTGCCCTCATTCTGCAACTATATACTGAGTTCCTACTAGGTACCAAGCACCATTCAATATTGAGCAAGACAAAGAAAAAAAATTAGTCCCTGGTTTCCTGGGACTTAGTGTTTAGTAGCAAGAGACAGACTTTAATCAAATGGGCTCACAGATACTGACGTCTTAGATCAGCCTTGCAGTTCTTGGGTGGATGCTCTTCCCTCTATTTGGCCATGGACTCCTGGCACACATCCATCTTTATGGCCCTCACCATGCTCTGCTCAAGGTCTGGTACACGGTAGAGCCTAAAGAGAAGTACTGTCCAAACAAATGAGCAAATGAATGAATACAGTGGAAGTCATGGTTTACAAAAAGAAATCAAAGGGGTTCAGTTCCATAAATCACTATAAGAAGTGCTGATTTCACAATGTTTGACAACTCTTGACTTTGAAGAAAAATTCCACATTAGGGTTTGCTAATCCCAACTGTCACACGATGGGTGGCAACTGACTTCATTCTGAATGACCTTTTGACTCTGGTCTCATTTCTTCTGTGGCCTTAGAAAGGACAGGAGTGTTTTTTGGAACAGGGGCTTGGGTTTGTAATTATTTCAAAGACACTGTCACGATCCTTTGGAATGTCACAAAGCTCCACACATCTGTCAGCACAGAGCTTTTCACAGACACCTGTTAGAAAACCCCAGTGCTCACTGGTGTCAAGTCAGCAGGGCTGGGTGGGGATGAGTGCTCCCTGGGAACATTCGGGCAATAAATGTTTATTGAGCTCCTACTTTGTGCCAGGTACAGGCTAAAACACCTGAGTAGAGTGGCGAACAGCAGAGTCTCTGCTCTCCCGAAGGTCAAGTCTTTGGGGGAGGGCAAACACTAATGGAGATAGATGAATAGATTTTTTTTTTTTAAAGAGAAAAAGTAGAGACAAGGATAAGTGCTAACAGGGAATTATACACAGGGATTATAACACAGGGACCCACATTAGCCTGGGGAGATTAAGAGTCCTTTTCATAAATTCATAAAACTAGGTCAAAAGGACTTTCTCAACTTCCTCTATTTATAGATGGGGAAACTGAGGCTTGGGGAGGGAAGTGACTTCTCCAAGACCATCCTACAAGTTAATGGAGAAGATAGGATTAAGGCAACTCTTCTGGCCCTGCTCCAAGGCTATCTCACCAACCCTCAAAGTGCCTCACTTTCTAACTGTAACCAACCTCACAGATTCTCAGGGCTGGAAGTTGCAGAATGGGGCAGGGATTACTTAGAAGTCTTGCGTGGTCTCTTGTCTTCAATGCATGAAAAGCTTCACAGTGAAAAAGTGAAAGTGAGTTTTCTCTTTATTTTATATATAAATCTATATAAATCGTCAAGATCTGATAATGAGATACTCGAAGTCAGTATGGTCTGGGTTAGGAGACCATGGTGAACATCTTACATTTTACTTGCCGGATTAACCAGATGTGTGTCTGTGTGAGAGAGAGAGAGGAGAAGGTAAAGCAGGAAATATTCCCACAATTTTTTTGTTGGTTGCTATTTTGAGTCTTAGTCACCTACTTACAGTCACATATTTAAATATGTATTCCTATGGAAATTTTTCTGGATGTTTCCAAACTGTGACAGCAACACTCAGGATTGGGTAATAAATCCGCCTTGACTTTAATACAGGTGTAGCAAGACTCGCCTCTCTCCTTCTCTATCCATCTATCACAGCTCCGTGTTTATTGGTTTATATACCCACTCCCCCCTTAGTCTCTGTGCTCCTAGAGGACACTTAAATATCACTTCCTCAGGGAGGCTGGACTCCTACATCAGGTTAGGACTCCCTGTTAAATGCTCCCATAGCACCTATAGTTCTCCTAACAGCACCCATGGAACATTATTGAATTCATGTTTTGAACACCTATCTTCTCTGCACACCACGAGCAGTTCTGTGAGCATAGAACCTGGCCCTGATTCAGACATAGCCACGTTCCCAATGCATAGCATGGTACCTGGCCCATGGGAACTCAGCTCAATACTGTTGTTGGAAAACAATCCTACATTAATTCATTTGTATTTATATCCCTGACACCTAGCACATTTCCCAACCCAAGCTAAGTGTTCAGAAAATGTTGATTTGAGTTGAAGATTCCCACCTATGGCTTTATACAGTTTGCAAAACACTTTTGCTTTTACATAGATTGAGATTCATAACATCCCTGTGAAGTGAGCAGAGTGGGGATTAACACTCCACTTTATAGACTGTGATTTGGGAAGCTTTGGCAATTGCCCCCAGGGTGTCAGGCTAGAGACTGTGGAAGAGCCCAGGCCCAGAGCTTTGGGTGACAGGGGCTAGGCTATCTCCCGTGTGACAAAGCTGTGACCTTGGCAGTACAGTCACTGAGGAGAAATAAGTTCAGGGCCTAGGAACGATCTACAGGTTCAGGAATTTTCAAAACTTCATACAGGTATTTTTTCAAAAGTATTTTCAAACTTCCCACCTACCTGGAGGAATCAGGTGGGACATGAGTTTTGGAGGCTCCCTTTTTGTGTGCTCTTAGCAAGAGACTTTACCACTTTGAGCCTACATGCTCTCATCTATAAAATGGGAATGGTAAGAGAACCTACTTCACCGTGTAGTTGTCTGAATTAAATGAAAGAATGTGTGCAGTGTACCTACAATAAGTGCTCTGTAAATGTTGATCACTACTAGATACTCAGACACCTGAGAAAAGCTGAGATCTTAGGGAAAACTCAGCCTTAACACTGATTATGATCCAACTCT